AAAAAAGTATTATTCATTAGAGTCAGATTATGTCACCTTCACTTAAAATTGTCAACAATGCGAACCATACAAGCGACACTCTTCTTAGCGACGTACGTAACAACAAATAAATTTATATTTATATACGGATATGCTCAACAGTTCCCTTTCCGCAAAGAAAAATTACAACAAACTCAAATCCATACTAGCTTGAATAACATTTCTGTCCGACATTCTTTTCACTCTCCAGCCATATTCCATATTATTTGGAGCTACCCCAGAGGTTGATTTAAAACCTTTATTTCTCAGTTTCAATGGCTGCCTATTTTCTTAAGACGACTTCTTCAGTTATAGTTTATCTCCTTAAGATATCTTCAGTTGTAAGATCTATTTCCTTCTTCAGTTACAAAGTCTATGTATTTCCTTAAGACAACAGTTACAGCGTCCATTTATGTCCTTAAGACAACATCTTCAGTTACAGCGTCCATTTATGTCCTTAAGACAACAACTTCAGTTACAGCGTCCATTTATGTCCTTAAAACAACCTCCTGAGTTACAAGGTTTCATGCATTTCCTTAAAACAGCGTCTTCAATTACAAGGTCCATGCCTTTCCTTAAAAAACGTCCTTAGTTACAAGCGTCCAAGTCTTTCCTGAAGACAACGCCCTCAGTTATAACGTCTATGCATTCCTATTTTTTTATAATAAAATTTTAATTTTTTTCTCTTTTTACTACTGTTTGAATTTTTATAAACTTGATTTGCCTAGGTTAGGAGAAGGACTTTATTATTATTATTATTATTATTATTATTATTATTATTATTATTTTCTTTGATTTCTGGCGTTTACACATTTCTTTCCGGGTCCCGCCCAGGGACCTAAGGTTAGAAATGGCATCATGACACTTTCCACTGACAAAAAAAAAATTACATCGATAAAGCCCTTCGTAAAGTGTGGGCTGTACTTGTCAGAATAATATTTGTATCTCTTTGAGGCATGGACTTCCAGGAATCCCTTCAATTAGTCTACTGGAATCTTTTCCAGTCATTCCTAGGGCTCCAACTACAACAGGGATTGTTGATGTTCCCATATGCCACATTTTTGAGATTTCTATTTCAAGGTCCTTGCATTTTGACAGCTTTTTGAATATCTTCAAAGATACATTGCAGTCTGCAGGGACTGCCATATCAATAAGGAGGCGCTTTTTTTGTTTGTGGTCTTTAATAACAATGTCTGGGCGGTTGGCTTATTATTATTATTATTATTATTTTTTACTCAATACAAAGCCAAAGAGCAACTCAAAGTAGAGGGTTACTAAATGAGCCTGTTGTAATGACGTAGTTGGAGTAACGGAGCAACAGGTGTGTATTATGAGGTTATGTAGGATAGAAAACGATTGACCCTCGACTTGAAGAAGTTAAGATTGTAATTATCGAGGAAGTATCATCTCGTTCGTTCTATAATGCATTTGTCCTAGGAAAGAAGCTGTCTGAAGAAACTTCATTTTCATTAATGGAATAGGAAGGAAATGAGGATTAATCGATTCAGTGTACGTGACATGGTGGGCGATGACATTAGCTGTGGGGGTCTGGTCTGGTCTGGTCTGGTGGAACCAAGGAATATAGTCCGCCTGAACATATGCCATGAAAATAGCGGTAGAGTAGTGAAATGTGTTCAAAACCAAACGCAATAGGAAACATTCTATTTCCCAATAAGGCGTGGTAATTCACAGCTACTAAAGAAAAGCTAAGATCACATACATCGTTAATAAACATGGTTAAACCTTGGGACCAGGCTACTACCTATCTGGCGTACAGTTCAATCTCTTTAATCTGGTAAGCGAAAAACCTAATGTAAAGATAATCTTGTCAGTTCATTCCACATACATATAGCTGTGTTATCAAAGGTAGAACAAAGCATAAAACAGGAAATAAAACAATCATTAATGTTTGTTTAGAAAAACAAGCTTTTTATTGCTTCATACAATCAGTCAGTTATGTGTAATACACGCTTAGGCGATCATGTATCTTTCGGTACATGACTGACGAGGCAGATTTTTCCCGCAGTAGTTTGCTGTTTCTTTCTGCAGTAGACTAGTTGCCATCAAAGGGTATAGAACCCGGAACAGTTATTTCCCAAGGGTATTAGCACGTAAAGTGAATGTAATGGATTCGACTGGAATTCGAACTCGGTTCTCCGATTCCTCAATCCGAGCCGCTATCCATTACTCCACAGTGCCACCGCGTCCAATTCAAAAGCTAAAAAAAGCCTAAAACCAAAAATAATATATACTTACTATCCCGTATGCAGCTATATAGAAATGAGCAAGACCATATCACCAAAAACATTCTGCTGCTGTCGGCTGCTGAGGAAAGTTGTAAACAACGTGTGGCGCTGCCCTCGTAGTCACTCAAAGAACTAATGGCACCCGATTAAAAAAAGTACCGGACGATAGGAATTACCGAATCACATGTGTGCGGGATTAAAGAGATCGAACTGTATATAGTGAGCTATTGGAATATTGACGAAAGAATGGTTTCGTCAGAGATTTTCAGGTTCCCGCCAACACAGTTATATTTTTTCTAATCTGTGTCGGAATTTCACTAGTTGATGAATTATCATTCTTGTATGTTTTTACATTTGGAGGAATAACCTCATCTTATTTGTTATAGTCACAACGTTTCGACCGTTATGCTCTTCGATCTACTTCTGGTGTCTGTCGTACTCGGTATATGTCCCGGAATTTAGTGCCGAATCTTTTATTTAGACTCCATTCAGATTCCACTTTGGATGCTTTTTGTTTTAATCACTTTACCCCAAGCAAGGAAATAAAGCCACTAAGACGCAAAAGGTTACTGAGTATCAGAGAATACGAGAAAATATATTATTAAGGGGAGAAGACAATAAAAGAACAACAATTAAGAAGACAGACGATAACGACTGACATTGCATTTAAATTTTTGAATATCAAAGTTGATTGGAAAGGAAGAAGCCGAAAAAGATTTCCACGAGCAAGAAGTACGAGAGAAGAAACTGTTAGCATAGAACTTACGGTTTCATCTAGCCATTTCATCTGTAAAATGATGAGAACTTGCCGCCAATCTAGTACTGCGCTTATATTCATAAAGTCGAGGCACCACAGATAAAATTTCATCAGAACAATTATCATGAAAGTATTTATATAAAAGGCAGAGGGAAGCTACATTACGGCAGTGAAAAAGTGACTGAAGCCGAGATGCCATGTCAGAATCAATAACATTGCAGATTCTTCTTTGGATTTTATCTAGAACCTCTAAATATACAGCAGGGGCACTAGACTAGGTGGCAACAATGTTCAAAGAAAGGACGAATTGTAGACTTATAAATACGTAAGACAGATTCCGGTGAGAAAAATTGTCGAGATTGACACAGTGAACCAACTTTCCTAGCTGCAGACTTAGAAATTGATTCAGTATATTCTTTCCACTTTTCAGCGGAGAACGTTAGTGCGATAAGGCGTAATGATTCATTCCCATAGGGGTTAGCATCAGCCATGCTGATGGAAGTCAAAAAGAGTTCTCTTAGACGATTAAAAGAGAGCAGTTTTGTTTTGGAGGCGTTAAAATTAACAAGCCACTCTTTGCTCCATTTAACAACAGATTATAGCCCATTTGAGCTTATTGCTTAGGAGATATTTCATTTTAATTCATATTCTTCTGTCTATTCTGCATTTTATGTTGTTTGTCCATTTCTGACTTTTCCATACTACTTGACCAAGGAATTGAATTCACAACTACGAAGGAACCATTACTTAATATATTATGCCATGTGTTTCTTGGATAATCTCGTGGTGAAATTTTAAAGTTTTAACCCACTTGACCACCACTTTACCGGTGGTAGAGAAAAATGGCTTAATGCCCAGCAACCGGTTGAACGGTGGATAAATATTTGTAACTATTTTTATATCTACTGTGAAACATTACATACATATATATTTGCGAATTTTGTCTCAGGAGCCCAGGCAGAAAAGGGGTTAAAATTGTTTAGGAACGCAGTTCTCAAAGTGTTAATTTGTCGACTATGTTGTTTTTGGTCTATTATGTGAACTCCATTCCACGAGAATTAATGATTAGCCTTTTCTCTCAATATATAATCAGTTATGCCTGCTTTCAAGGTCTATCTCCAGACTACAGCCTTTCGATGCTTTCACTTTTACTTTTAGGGACCATAGGGATTTTTAAGTATTTTCGAAGAAAATCAACGAAAATTGAGATGAAAGAAATACTAGTTGAAAATAAATAATGGTTGACTCATCTACTAATAAAATTCAACATAATATTACTACTTGTTTACTAACGGCCATAGACTGATTGTTTGAGTTATTGCAATGAAAACCAACTAAAATTAAGATGAAATAAAAACTAGTTAAAAATTAATAATGGTTGTCAATATTACCTCTAATAATTATTATAAATCAAGATAATATTTTCGCAATTCCATTAGACACTTCTATGTGCCGAATCCCTTCAGGACGTGGGCAATCATGGCTCGCCAAAATTTTTTGTCCTTTGTAGCTTTTAGTAAAGTGTGTCTTTTCGCTATTTCTCCTATCTGATGTTTTGCCAACCACTTATTCAAGTTCCTTAGATAGGTAACTCACTGCTGTCCTCTATTCCTCTTGCCTATGTCCTGTGAGTGTCAGATTTTCTAAGCCTTCTTTCTTTATTATGTGCCCTAGAAATTTCAACTATTTTTTTCTAATTCGAAGTATAAGTGACTATTTTGTTTCCATTTTCTCTAAAGCTTCGTCATTGCTCACTTGTTCATTCCACAGTATTCTCAGCATCCTTCTGCAGAATCACGTTTCTCTTGACTCACGTTTCTTGTTATCTGCGAGGAAATTGTACAGCATTTGCGCCCATACAGGAAAACAGATATTACATAACAGTTCAGTGCCCTTTTCTTTGTTTTTAACGAGATTTTCCTCTATCTTGTTTAGCTTTTGGAAGGCATATCTCGCTATCCCAATGTGCATTCGGATTTATGTGTCCTATAACTGAAATAGAATATCTATCTATCTATCTATCTATCTATCTATCTATCTATCTATCTATCAACAACTGTCTACTCTATACAACCGCTTTCTTGGATCAATGATTAAAGATGGCTTCAGGTGAATGAAACATGTAGATCTTGATGAAGACCTTTCTCCTTCATATCTCATGAACTGGCGCTGTAGAATCACAATCAAAAAAGAACTGTACAAAATGGCAGAAAACATGTCACTTGAGGACTTTCAAAAGCCGCAACAAGTAAAATGGATAGCACATGTTAACTCAAAGAGAAAATATAATCAAGATGTTGACTTCCACAAACAAAAGGCAAGAAAGAAAACCCCCATCAATACTGGAAAGATCGAAAGCATTTAGTGGACATGATTTGGTGGACATGAGAAACCTATTTTACTGAAAAACTGTTTCAATAGAAAGAATTTATGAATTTCAACAAGAAAGTAGCACCGACTGCTCGGTTAATGAATTCCAAATATTTCCTTATAAGGAAATGGTTAATTTTACCATTCATTAATATCTATCTTACACACATATACACACACATCCGCAAACCTCATTCCTGAATTTAAAATATTGTCAGATCCGAGTTCTACAAGAAATGCTTTGTTAAACAGTTAAAATAACAGTTAAAATAATAGGCCTCCATAATCCAAACGGTATAAGTTAGACCATGATTTTTTTCTATTATTGATAAATGAAAGAAAGAATTTTATTTTCACACCTCCAGCGTGGACACAATGCCACATTCATCCTGCCAGAAACGAACTCGTTATTATTGACTTTAAGAGCAGACATATCTTCTTTTTTAATCATTTCACCCCAAGCAAGGCGGGAATGCCATTGGTACACACGGGGTTACAGAGTGTGACGATGAGAGAAAAGAATGAGTATAGGGAGATTGAACAAATGATAGAAGATGAACGGGATTCAAGAAGACAGAAGATGGCAATTGACATTGCATTTAAAATTTTGAAGATTGTAGTTTTCAGAAAAGGTAAACGGAAGGAATTACCACAGGCGGGAAGTGTGAGAAAAGAAACTGTTCGAGTAGAATTGGCGGTTATATTTAACTAATTCAACAGTAAAAGGGTGGGACCTAGATGCCAATCTAGTAGCGCGCTTAAATTCACGTAGTCGGCGCACTAGGGGAAAAAAGTACGTCAGAGCTGATGCCATGAAAATATTTGTAGAAAAGACAGAAGGATCTACAGCAGATGTTTAAGAAAGAAAAAAAAAATATGTTTATTTTACTCTACGGATTTCTTACTTACTTTCACAATCCGCCTCTTTATACATCGTGTAGAACTAAAAACGAAAAACAATGGCCGTACATATTGTTCATTTACGTAGAGCAATTTGTCCATAGTTAAGTAAAATCGACAAACGACAAATTGATAAAATTCTCAGTAAACAATAAGAAAACAAAAAGAAAGAAAAGGAAAAATAATACGAAGCAAACAATATATACATGCAAGATAAATTTAGGCAAAGCAACAGTAATAAGGCAGAAGTTGTAAGAATGGTGTTCACATGCAAAAGGGATACAGTCAAGTGATTGTAGCGTTTTGACTTCAAGACAAGAAAGAACAAAAATATGGCGGACGAGACCGAGAAGTAATCCATTTTATTGGTTAGGAAGAAATCATAACAAGTATTTGTAGGGTTTGTCTATAAATTTGAGAAGTGGGGTGTTTTTGAAGTCGTTCCTATTAGAACCAAACATTTCAGACAACAAATAAACTAGGGTATGATGTGTCAATTAATAATTAACACGCCTATTTATTTTTTATCAAATCAATGTACTCAAAACCAAAAGCAATAAATAATTTCATTAATAGACAACCTCGTTGGGAATTAGTCGAACTTTCATGAATGTTTAAATTCTATGCAACAAGTTATCAAATCAACAAGATTATTCTCCTGGGTAATGGCAATTGTTCCTCTAGTCTGTTATCACGCTTTCCAGTATTGATGGGGGATTCCTTCCTAACAGTCAAAAAAGAACAAAGATATGGCGGATGAGACCGAGAAGTAATCTATTTTATTGGTTAGGAAAAAATCCTGACAAGTATTTGTAGGGTTTGTCTATTTGAGGAGGGGGATGTGTTTGAAGTCGTTCCTATTTGGATTGGAACCAAAAATTCAGACAACAAATAAACTAGGGTATGATGTGTCAGTTAATAATTAATACGCCTTTTTACTTTTTATCAAATCAATGTACTCATAACCAAAAGCAATAAATAATTTTATTAACAGAAAGCCTCATTGGGGATTGTTCTCTTGGTAATGGTAATAGTGAGAATAGTCGTTTCCATACAAATGAATTAATCAATCAACAGTCAATCATAACAACAATCGATGTAATATACCCAAACTTATAATTAAACTAATTACAACTACATCAAAACATTCGAAGTAATACAGGATTAGTCAAAATTATTATTATTATTATTATTATTATTATTAATAATAATAATAATAATAATAATAATTCAACACGAATGGATTATTTTTCTTTTGTAGACAGACGCGCCTCGTAGGTGATATATTAACACTGGAGCAAAGAAGAATGGCTACAAGCTTGCTTGAAATGATTGGTTCGCTAACCCATATCCATCGAATATTTGAAGAACGATTTGCAAGGCGAGACCTATCAAGTCATTTAAGGATTTATCTTATCTACTAGTTTGTGAAGACTGAATCAGTTGCGGACAATTACCGAGGAAATGTGGGGCAGACCAGAACAGCTACCTGCTTTTAACATTTTATGAATAAATGATTTCTACCATTTAAGTGTCAGCATAATTTTGACTAACCCTGTATATCCAAAATTATTATTAAATTAATTACAACTATTAATAACTATTGTGGAAATGATCAAAACATGACAGCACTAACAATAATTCTGAAGATAAACATTTAAAGTTTGCAGTTTATCTATTCAAGATAAACTATAACACCTTTTGACGCCGTGTACATGGTATGATTGGTCCTAGCTGTGAAGGCCTAAAATGGTGGAACAAAAGAAAGTAGTTCGTCTCCACAGTTGCCATGGAAATAGCGACAGGGTAGGGACAGGTTTGTGATACTGCATCTGTGGGATAGATGCTGCAGGGGAATATAAATCCCCACCCCTGATAAAACTGCATAAACTTTTTTTTTAACTCTATCAATGCTAGAAAGTGATAATTGAGCAACCCTGCCGAAATATATCAGCAATACTCTATTTTTTGTCTAATCTGACTCGTGTAACGGTAAAACATGGTAGAGAGCGTTAGCTATTTCCTGGGGCGATAGAATATCCCGACTACCTTTCCAGCATCTTTAGCAGGGAAGGGGTCGTATATATGAGTTCCATTTGAGGTCTGGAATGAACTTAAGACACGGTAGGCGTGGAAAGCATTGAGAATGCAGCCATTCATTGTGATTGGGAAAACTTAGTATAAAGTATACATAAAATATATCCTATTGTAAAGCTTTTAATTCACCAGGGGACATGTGGTGGTTATCTAACATCAACACTCTGGCCGTTTGTTTAGTTTTCTTTTCAACATCTTGTTTTCTTCCCAACAACTGCCAAAAATTTGAATAGGAAAGAAAAACAACCTTTAAAATGTGTGCGCTTCTTTACACACACACACACACACACACACACACACAACATACCGATTTACTGATTGTCAATTGCCAAGGCTGATAATGATGGTAACAGCTATTTAATGTTAATACACCTTACTTTAATCAGATGTTCAATATATATATATATATATATATATATACACAAATGTAATGAGAACGAAAAGAATATAAATTCAAACGTTCAAAACATTAATTTAAAAGAGTGCTCAATACCAAAAGTAGAGCAGCAATTATTTATTATGTTACATACGGCTATATATATAAGATGTGTGTGTGTGTGTGTGTGTGTGTGTGTGTGTGTGTGTGTGTGTGTGTGTATAAATGGACATAATCAAAATATTAACATTCCACACTATAACAAAAGGTTAGAAGGAAACACCCATCAATACTGGAAAGAGCGATAACAGCAATTATTTGATTGTTTTCCTGAAAAATTGTTTATACAGAAATATTTTATATTTGATTGATTCATTTTCTAACTAATTAATCCTGTGCAGGTTATTTTTTTTAAATAATAATAGTTTAGTGATACAAGTCTTACTAATTAACCAGAAAAGTAATTCATTCATTCCCAAAGGTATTTGCTCGTAATATAAGGAAGTCAACGAGAATTCAACTCGGATCTCCGATTAACAATTCAGAACTATTACCCATTAACCTACCCGCACATCCAAGCTTACAGACCCTGGTATTCTCATTGAAATATTGACATTGCTCGACGTTGCTTAACTTCAGTGATCTATGGGAACCGATGTTTAAAAAAGATTTTATAAATTTCAACTGGCAGTAGTACTGGCTGTTCGAATGGCGAATGTTTCCTTGTAAAGAAACGGCTAATATTATCATTAAGCTGTTTATTTGTCTTTTTAAAAAACAAAACCGATCTTTACGGCACATCCTTAATCCAAATACAACACAATGAGCATAAAAACGATAAAACTAAAAAGCCTTTCGTATACTATATATATATATATATATATATATAATTTTCTTTTGTTGATTTAAAAGAGATCATCAGCCCATCGGAAATATATGAATGACAATGAAATCATAAAAGATACTATACAATAAGCGTAAACAAAAACGATAAAAGTCTTTCGCAGACATTTCAGAAAAATTGTTTTTTAACAACATACGTATACAGAGAAATATATATTTACACACAACACACACACATATATATATATATATATGATGTGTGTTCATTTTTCAAACTTTTTTTCCTCCACACCAAAACAAGACCAAAGCCCATATAAACATATGTCCGTCTGTTTTTGACTTATTAAGTTCAAGGAAAGTTTACGGTAGAATCAGGAATCAGCTTCTAAAGTTTGTAAAAATATTTTGGGATTGGACATTTAACAGCGTCTACCGTAAACTTTAAACTCAACTCAAAACCGAAGGATTTATGAACATATGTTTATGTGGACCATTTTCCATGTTTTGGTGTAATGATCTCGCCTCTAGTTTTGTAAAAGCATTTTGACACGCACTATATATATATATGCTATTTTTAATTTATTTTGTTTAAACGTTAATTATAATACATACTCATATTCGAGTTAAAGTTCTGTTTTTTATTTATTTATACAGTATTTTTTATCCAACTACATTATCTACCGGCCTGAATATTCGAGAAATCTTGTGCCCTTCGACAGGATTCGAACCTGCAACACGCAACTATGGGGAACCATAATTCAATTCGATCTGACGCGCCTGACCATTCAGCCACGTGGGACTTCCAGTTAAAAAACGTTTAAACAAAATAAATTAAAAATAATATAATCCGTTTCCTAGAAAAATGCCTTCGTTTATGCTAGGATAAGATACAGAGCAGATATAGATGTTTCGAGAATCAACAGAGAGTGTGTGTACAAAAGGAACTATTCAGGCCTTGTCTGACCGGAAGTGGCGAGCGGTCAGGCACGTTAGATCCAATGACGGTTCCCCATATGGGATGCAGGTTCGAATCCTGCCGGAGGATGCATATTTTTCTAACAAGATTTCTCAAATATTCAGGCCGGTAGATGTTGGATCAAAAATACTGTTTAATTAAAAAACAGAGCCATCAAAAATAACATTTAAACAGTATGCCGAATATTAGCCGTTTCTTTACATTTAAGGAAACATTCGCCATTCGAGCGTCCAGTACTACCGCCGGTTGATATTTATAAAATCTTTTGGCTTACGACCACATCACGTTTTAAACATCGGTTCCCATAGATCACTGAAGTTAAGCAACGTCGAGCAATGTCAATATTTCAATGAGAATACCAGGGTCTGTAAGCTTGGATGTGCGGGTGGGTTAATAGGTAATAGCTCTGAATTGTTAATCGGAGATCCGAGTTGCAATTCTCGTTGACTTCCTTATATTCACTTACGAGCAAATACCCACCTTTTCTCCTCCATCTACGGGTTAATTAGTAAGACTTGTATCACTAAACTATTATTATTTAAAAAAATAACCTGCACAGGATTAATTAGTCTTAGAAAATGAATCAATCAATTATAAAATGTTTCTGTTCAAACAATTTTTCAGGAAAACAAGTTTCTCAAATCTAATTGCTGTTATCGCTCTTTCCAGTATTGATGGGTGTTTCCTTCCTAACCTTTTGTTTGAAGTAGTGTGGAATGTTAACATCTTCATTATGTCATTGTTTTCTCTTCTTCGCGTTACATGTGAAATCCATTTTAATTGTTGCTGTTGTTGAAAGCACTCAAGTGAGGTTTTTGTTATCTGGTACAGTTCTTTGTTTGTGATTCTATAGCGCTAGTCCACAAGGATTTTCTTCGCTAAAACCCACAGGCTTTACTCGCTCAAAGCCATTTTTAACCATTCATCTTACATAGTGTTTGAATACAGCTAAACTGATTAGATATTTCTGAACAGGTTTGGCGCCATGCATGGCATTCATATGAATGTCTCGATCTGACGAGGCTATTTAAGTACATGAACCTAGTTTTCAAGTTTATGTTATGGTTTTATAGCCATTTGCGGTGTTGGGCGAAACTGTCTCTAGTGCAGTCTAAACTAATTAGTTCAAAGTGAATTTAGAAGAACAAAACTGATTGTTAGAAATTATTGTTCTATTTTAAAGATCTTTTTAGTTCTCAACCCAAAGGTCGCGCGTCAAATAAAGATACCCCTAATGGTGGCGGGTTTATTCAAAAACAATTTTTTTTTTAATTTGAAAAGACCAAAAAAAAAAATAGTGTAAATGTATAACCCAATTTAGGACGAAAAAAGCAGTAATAAAATATACGAAAGGGCTAACATTTTCCAGTATGTTCGCGGCCGAGTTGGCTGGAGCCTAATACAATCGCAGTATCATTTCTCACTCACTTCTGGCGTTGCTCTTTTGGATAACTTCACCGCGTGAGATATTTACACGAAGATCCGCCTTTCATTTTCTTCAATAAAAGTAAAAAAAAATATTGATTTATTGATTGTTAAAGTAAATAAATGGATGCACGGGTAATCTAATGGTTAACGAGCCTCGGAAAGAGAAGTCGGCAAACTGAGTTCGATTTCGCATGAATACTTTTGGGAAAATTATTAAACTTTCTTTTCCCCCTCTAACTATGGGTTAAATACCCGAGCTGAATGTTATCTATGGCCTTGAGGTGGCAATCAGTCTAGAAGGAGGAAAACTCAACATGAAGAGGGATGGGCTCTGTCAGGCTATCTTGCCCTAGACACACCACTGCTGCTGTGGCTGCAGTACATGTGTCGCCTTTATAACCGTATTAGATTATGGGATTCCTGGTGTAACGTGATATGTTGAAATTAAAATAAAAGTGAGTAAAAATCTATGAGCTAAAATTAAATGAGTAACACTAAAAGCATGTTTCTACCCTGTATTCAGGATCGCGGTCAAAAGCTTTTTGGGAAAACACTGTCTGAGATTCTAAAAAAATTGTGCAATTTCTTTCATCTGCAGTTAACAACAGATCGCCTCATTCAAAGAACGCAGTGAACAGAATGTCCAGTGTTTCGCCCAGGAAAATCCGTTTACTCCACACTCATTTAAAACAAGGAAAGATATTCTATACTGCCGTTTAAAAAAGGCGCCTCGCTGTCGGGCTGTGATTTGCCGGTTCGTCTAGCAAATCGTTATTACTATGAGGTGAGTAAGTTCCTAACTGGTCGTACCACATTTAAAAAACGACTAGTTTAAAGATGTTGTTACAAGCTTGTCTGGTGTACAATTAGCTGGCGTAGTAAGTTCAATCCTCACGAATGTACGTTTGTTTGTTTTTTTTGGGGCGGGGGCACGAAGCTAACTTTAAGTAACCAAGGGTTACGGTTAATATTGGACAGTTTTCTCAAAGATGAATATCATGGACGGAGCGCGTAAGCAGCAAGGAAGTCTAAAAAGGAAAACGGGAACAAAAAATAACATACTCAGAATGAGAAAGAGTCAGTTGAAACTTCTTGAATATATAATGAAGAAGGAAGGCTTGGAGAATTTGACACTTACAGAATATATTGAAGGCAAAAGTGACAAGGATAGGCAACGGTCTACCTATCCGACGAATTTGTGTGAATTGATGTTGGAATGAGGCTGATGGATAGTAAAAAGACAAACGTTACTAAGGGCTACAAAAAATTGTGGAGAGCCATGATCACCCACGACCTGAATGAACACGACACAAAGACGAAGACGGCTTAAGGTTAAACCCCGCTTTTGTCTGATCAGCGAGGTTAAGCAATGCTAAACTTGGTCATTACGCTAATGGGAAATCGTTTACAAACACCAGGTATTGTAAACAACTGATGGCCTTTTACCAGACTAATTAGAGATTAGTACACAAACTATGTCGTTGTTTCAAATAAGGCTTACGACCGTATCACATTGAAACGCCGGTTCTCGTATGACCACCGAAGTTAAGCAACGCCGAGCCTGGTTAGTAAATGGATGGCCGCTTGGGAATATCAGGTGCTGTAAACTTGGGTGTGCGGGTGGTATAATAAATAACGACTCGAAATTGGAAATTGGAGAGCCGTGTTCCAATTCCAATTAGTTATATTCACTTACGCGCAAATACCCTTTGAAAAGGCATGCATCCACCTCTCCCTCCAACACTGCTATGGTTTTATTAGTAGGACTTGTATCAGTAAATCATTAATATCACACCAAAATTCTTACAATCCAAAAATATTTTTTGGTTTTACATTTACCTTTAAAATGTTTATATGCCGTAAAAAACAAATCAATCAATCGTTTCAAATGATTAAGAAAATAGCCATGCACCCGATTAACTTTGGAAAATAGAAGAAGCATTTTCTTCTTTCACATCAATGAAGATAAACTGCTTTACAAGCAAACTTAACGATAATGACAAATTAAATACTTTACCAATTTGCAAATTACGTAAAATTTGGCAATTTTGCAGGCTTTAATCAATAGAAATTTTAGCATCTAGTTGGAATAAAACGAAATCTTATTCAAATAGTTTAAAACAGGCATGGGAAAAATTTTCCAACTAGTGAGCTGCGTGAAATGTGGTTCATCATAAGGTGGACCGCACGACTAAAAATTTCATGGTAATTTTTCATTGGAGCAATCACAGCCACTTTCACTACAAAAGAGCTTACGCGTAAGCATTTGCCTAAGAAATAGGGAAATTTTCTTTTTCTTAAGAGAAAACATTTTTCTATAATTAAAAAACTGAAATCTTGGTATAATTATCACTGATGACAATGGGGTTAACATACACATTTATTAATTTATTCAAATCAAAATACAAAAAAAAATAATCAATTTTTATATAAAAATATATATTTCTTCTACATAGAAAAAATATCAGGAACGTTCCCTATTTCTAAAGCAAAAATCGTTTACTCGTATGATCTTGTTTAGTGACAATCACTAATGATTTCAAATACTGAAAAAGTTACCTTAAACGAAAGGTTATAAAATTCAAGAAACATTGTACTTCATCATTGTTTATGTATGTGATTATGCATGAGAGTGCAGGAGTGAATAATTGACAACGAAATGAAACAAACAGAACCTTAAATAACTTTATTTTTCTAATGGAATTAGTCGTGTCATCCAAAAACCCAAACGGATGCAGTTTGTCCATGGCTGGTTTTAAAAGCATCATGGTGGGACAGGTCTCTGACGAAAAGGTAGAGCTGATCCGTTACTCTGCCGTGTCAGAAGTAGCAAAAGTTGTCTCAAGTGTCACCTACCCGCCTAAGACTGTGAATCACGAAATAAACAACCAAGTGTATGGGAAACATGATTCGTGTTTTCATTTGCCACAGTGGCGATTTTTTCATCTTCCGTTCCTTTGTAAACGTACAACGGATCTTTCCCACTTTTAGCCCCCCCCCCTACCGATACGAACGAGAATCGAAACAGAACGCGATTTATCTGGTCGGTATAAAGGCTTGATTCGTTTTCTACGAATTATCAACAGATTATTTAAAGCCAAAAAATATTTTTAGATTGTAAGAATTTTTCTTTTTCTTTTTAGCAATTAATAATGATTTAGTGATACTAGGTTTACTAATTAACCCATTGCTGAGGGGGAAAGAGGTCGATTCATACCTTTCCCAAGGGTATTTGCACATGTGAATATAACGAACCCAACTGGAATTAGAACTCGGCTCTCCGATTAACAATTCCGAGACATTATCCATTACAATACCTGCACACCCGAGCTTGCAGCATCTGGTATTCCCAAGCGTAGGTACTGACGAGGTTTGACGTTGCTTAACATCGGTCATCGTACGGGAACCAATGTTTCGACGTGTTATGGCCTTAAGCTGGTAAAAGACAAATAGAAGTCCACGAAGTATGTTACAGAAAAAAAAAGAGACTGAGAAGTGGGTATGAACCGAGCAATAGGCGAACCTATTTACTCCTATCAATATTGAGATTTGTGCTGTGTCAGTATCAAGGACGTTAAATGACCAAATACGTACCTTTCAGAAATAAAAATATTATTAAATATCTTTCATTTAATGTATAGTGATATATAATTATATTTAGAAAGTATGAAAACTTATAATTTCTTACGCAGCATATTTTGTAGAAAAACTGAAATTGAAAAGAAGCACAAAATTTTAATAAGACAGACAAATTATTTTCAAAAGAAACACACACACACACACACACACACACACACACACACACATATATATATAAATAAAATAAGGAGGATAACGGCTCGGATTGAGGAATCGGAGAACCGAGTTCGAATCCATCGAATTCATTACATTCACTTACGTGCTAATACCCTTGGGAAAGGTATTAGTCCTCTTCTTCTCCCTAAATAACAGTAAATAGCAGGACAGGCTAGGTTCTATAGCCTTGGATGCCAACTGGTCTAGGAGAAGGACAACTCTGAATTCAAAACCTGCGGAGGGTCGTTTGGGGATCTTGTGGCACGTAATGCACCAGGTCTCTGTATTTGACCCTTTAAAAAGTGTGATTGGTTCTGCACAAAGCCTTCACCACTATAATCAAATCATATGTGCTGGTGTCTGGCTGTCAGTTCCTAGGAACTGAGCTGCTTGACACTCGTACGACGGGAGAGTTCACCCCCCCATATATATATATATATATATATATATATATATATATACAGAAATTTTTACCATAATCTGTTTATTATTAGGTCCCCAGTGAAAATGTGGTATTTTGCTACTAGGTCGGATTGGATAGAAAGGGCTGAGCTCTTGCGTTGTTTGTGTCAATTGTTATTCGTGAATGGGTCGTGAATAGAATTACTTAGGAGTATGATAGATAGTGATGACCAAATTTTGCCCCTCTTCAGCCGGCCTTGTGCTACAAAACAGTGTATTCATTGTTGAATAAAGACAAATACTTTTAAAATAGACATAGTGATAACACAGACGTCCTCCTGTCGCTTATAAATGACCTACGGTGCCCCCTTTATACATCGTGGTAAAGGTGTAACCTCTCTGCTCTGCGAAGAGATAAAATTACTGATTTTCATAGTGAACATGTGCCTTGGATAAAGACATCCGGATATATACTAACTTAACTTGCATTCAAGCAATACTTCTGAATGTATTTTCTGTGAATTTTCAAAGTTATTTTCTTATTGCTGTTGTATAAACATCAGGTTTGAAGATGTCTTATTAAACAGAATATATAAACATATGAGATAATTACTACTACAACTCTAAAAAATTATAACACACATGCTATGCATTCACTACTCATATCTTCCAGTAAGAGAAACATTATTTTTAATTTATTGATTTCAAGTACGCAATACATATACTTTGGTATCTCTCATTTGAAAGCCAAAAATCAAATTTACAATGTATTAGTGGAGTAAATTTAAATAAAAAAACATATCTACTTGAAGAAGACTAACAAATTCTGACATATTGAGTAGGTGGATGTTTGCAGAGAATTCTGGGAATTTTCAGACGGATACTACTACAACTGTAAAGAACTAAAACAGGTAAGCCTCACTCTCAGTGAGAAATAGACTTACTGAAAACTGTTTGAGAGATTGATAAGCTATCTACCCCCACTAAAGATATTTCCACTGTATTGATTTTATCAGTAAATGATTGCTACGTATATACTTACAAATATGCCGGACCAGGTCGCCAAACTATCTGAGGAATGTTGTTATTCGTGCTAACAGGTGAGAATATGTCGACCACTAAAAAAGGGCAAGCAAGTATCAGGTAAAAATAAAACAAAAAATAACTCGTTTTACAGCATATAGTCCTATCTAACGATCATATAGTCCTATCTAACGATCATATAGCGCCATAGTAGTTTATTATAAAAGCAGGTAAAATTTCTGATTTTCATAGTGAACATGTGCCTTGGATAAAGACATACGTCTTTCATAAAATATCAATAGCCTTTCCTAATATCCAAGGTTTTAAAACGTGTTAAAACTCCCGCCTAACAGATGTTGCAAATTACTTGGCAATCGCTATTTCTCTTGTGTATCAAGTCTTTTCAAAACATAGACGATCAACATAGACAACTTCCTATCCCTTGTGGCCATTAGCAACGTTTCTCTCTTTGTCAAGCGTCCGAAGCGCCGTTCTTCCATCTATTCGGACAAGCTCGTCAGGTTTGCTGCATTCCCCTATCCCTCTTGCCCTCGATATGCCCCTTCCACATTATGCGTCTAAGAATTTTTAACTGTCTCTTTCTGATTCTGAGTACGTGTTCCTTTTGTTGCCATTTTCTTTAAGACTTGTTGCTTACACGCTCCATCCATGGAATTCTCAGTATCATTCTGTAGAAACAGTTTTCTCCTCACCTGTGGAAAGATTGTCCAGCATTCACTGCCATCTTAGCGAATGTATTTCACATAACAATCTACCACTTTTTCTTTGTTTCTAACGAAACCTTTATGTTTCTTAACAGCTTTTGTTCTGGTTGTCTTCCCTCTTTCTGTCTAGCGTACGTTTGAATCTTAATTTAAACTTCGATAGAGAGATCACTGTCTTGCTAACAGAGAACTGTCCCACCTTGGACACTATGTATCCATTGAAAAGAGTATGGGTTGGGATTGTGAACTTTATGATCTTGACTGAGGTCGAATTAAAAAATAAAATAGTCTAGCGCAAGGCAACACGCATGGTCTCTTGCCAAAAACTTCTTCTATGTACCGTGTCCATTCAGCACGTTAACTTTGTCTTTTTTTAATCTCTACTAAAATCTCTTTTACCATCCATTTACACAAGCTCGCTAGCTAGGTTCTGCGTTGTTTTCTTTTGTCCAGTTTGCCTTCAATCTGTCCTGTATTAAATTTTCAAAGCACTCTTTTCTCATTATGTGTCCTAGAAATTTCAACTGTCTTTTTCTGATGTTAAGTATAAGTGTCCGTTTTATTCCATTTTCTCTAAAACTTCGTCGTTGCTCACAAAGTACTGACTTTACAAACTTTGCCTCAACTTCATGGATCAAACAATAACCGTGCTTTGATTTGT